CCCTGCGGCGCTCTGACAGCCAGCAAGCTGTGAAATCGCCGCCACTGCTGGTGAGAGAGACCTCGCTGCCCCGGGAGGGGAGACTAGTGCTGCTAGGGGTTTAGCCCTGTCTCAGGTACCTGAACTAGTGCAAGAGGCCAGGGGCCTCGAGGCGTGACGCTGGCCTTGCTGTGCCCTCCCTGGGGCTGGCAGCAGGGAGGGCCCTAGTCAGCGCAGCAGGGCTGCGGTGCCTCGCCCCTGCAGCTCTGGGAAGGGAAGGGGGTCTCAGGCCTGTCCCCAGCAACCAGACTCCCTAGAGGAGAGAAAGGAACGTGGCCTAGCAGCCCTGGGCCTTATTCCTGAAAGGTTAGAGAGGTTCCTGGAGGCAGGACACGGAAGGGTGGCCGAGGGGGTCCTGCCTCAGCCGCTGCCTGACTACACTGTCCTACAGGACTCGCCTGACGCCTCCAGGGAGCCGGTGGTCAAGCTCTCGGTGAGTTGTATGTGGGCACGTTGGATGCTGCCACCCTCAGCCTCAGTGGGGATAAGCAGGGCCTGTCCTAACGTGTCTCCCCTTTCCACAGAGCAAGCTCACTTCAGTCAGCCTACGAGGGATCAGCCACTCCAGCTCTGCTAACGATGTGGGCGCTAACGACTTCCATGGCAATTATGCCTTCGAGGGCATTGGCGATGAAGACCTGTAGTTGCTCCCCCTTCCCATGGACAGCACTGGCCTGAAGGCCCAAGGGCCTTCGCTGAGGAATGTACAACCTGCAGACAGGTTGCAATCGACGTGCCTCTCACCTGCTACCATCCACCTTCCCCTGCTCCCCGAGGGCTGGGGAGCTCATCCCCAACCCACCATTGCCTTCAGGGTGGGGGCAGCTGAACTCCTCCTGCTGCTGGCTTCCAGCGAGGGGGGCTGTGCTGGAGCCCAGCTGGGAGGGGGCTCGTTCCCAGAGTGGCCCCGAGCAGCACGCCCCAGCCAAGCCCTGGAGCAGGCATCGCAGAGCCTGGTCCAGCTCTGGAGGGAGCAGAGCTGCCCCCTTCCCACCCTAGGAGGGCCTGGGCCAGTGCCAGGCCTGGCCCAGAGCTCGCCTGTAGCACCAGTGTGAGCGACCAGCTGCCCCAAGGTGGCTGGGGGCAGCAGCCTGGTGGCACCGAGCGGCCCTCGTGAGGCTCCGTAATGCCAAATTAGCATTTAGGTCTCTGCTCAGAGACAGACTGCATTAAACTGTCTCCAGTGGGGCTCTGCGCAGAGCCCTATTTCTAACCCGCTCATAGACTCTAGCGTAATCTAGGCTTGTAACCACGTATCTTCTGCTGCTCAGACTGACCGGAGCATTAATGGACAGTAACCAATGTTTACACACTGCAATGATGATTAAAATGGATCCTGATTGGTACTGGGCCATCTGTTGGGGGCGGTGGGGAGAGAGACGAGGGCTGCTGTCCTGGCCCACACCGTGGTAGTCCTGTGCCTACCCGTTTTGGGAGCAGAACAAGGCCCCCAGGGAGAACAGCGGATAACAAAACTGACTGTTTAATGCTTTTATACAACAATATAAATTACACTGAAAGGCATGGCAACAGCCATGGAGCCAGTCCTGTTCCCCCCACCCTCCCCACCCCGTTTCTCCCAGATTCCAGCCAAGGAAGGCTCTGACAGGCAGGAACAGGGTCCCTCCCCCGGGACGCAGCACCACCGCTATAACTGATCGTGGCCATGCTGGCTGGGGTGGGCCCGAGCTGGGCAGAGGTGGGTGCTGCCCGTGGCTTTGCCCTGCCCCAGGGGTAAAGGGCTGCTGGAGAGCGGGCCCCTGCTGCCCCCAGCACAGCTGGCCCTGATTAAGGCAGCCCGAGCCCCAGAGGAGTTTCTGCCATCCCTCCCCCAGGGAGGGCAGGCCCATGGCCGGGATGCCCCACAGCGGAGGCCCCCCGGGGCCCCATGCCGAGCCCCTGCATGGGGCTAAGTGCTGTCTCAGGGCAGAGCTGCGCCCACAGCAGGAGGGGCCAGGAGGGCTTTGGCATTGCGTGGGTTTACCCAGCTCTCAGCCGTGTGGCCGTGGATCTTCTGGTGGCGCTTGTAGTTGTCCCAGTGGCCAGTGGTGTAGGGGCAGTCCCGGCACTGGAAGGGTTTCTCACCCGTGTGCCGCAGCATGTGCCGCTTCAGGTTCATGCTCTGGTTGCAGCTGTAGCTGCAGAGGCTGCCTGGGAAAGGCTTGTCGCCCGAGTGGATGCGCCC